ATTCTGTGCATTACTGTTCACTGCTGTTCAGTGTTCACTCCTTTCTCGTCCAATAAATAATGCTTTTTCAAGAAGAAGAAGAAGAAGAAGAAGAAAACACTGAAGGAGCTAATTAAAGATATAGGATTTGTTTCCTGTTGGTCAGAATAAACTCAATGGTGAATTCTGTTTTTATTAAGGATAAATGGGTTTAAATTCTCTAAAATTGAAGTTGAATTTTTGTAAAATTTTTTGTTTCATGAAAGAAAGAGAAGATTTTATATTTTATAAAATAAGTGAAAATGCTTAAAAAAAAGAAAATTTCAGTTATATTCACCAATCTCAATTTTAGAGAATTTAAATTCAGGATAAATAGATCAAATCAAGAAAAAACAAAAAAGATGTATGTATTTTCTTCGTTTACAATTTACAAAGAGTAATTCACTTGAAATATATTGTTGCTTGTCCGTCACATGAACGTGAAAGATGTATTTTTTTTTTTAAGAAAAATAAATTTTATCAAAGAATCAACTTATGTCTTACAAATTTTTTTGCTCAAAAGATCTTAAAAATTTAGTTATTTTCAAGAGAAATAAAGTTACTATCAAATTTTATGATCTTTTTTTATAACAAATTTTCTTAAAAATTTGTGGTGAGCTCTTTTTTTTAAAAAAAAAAAATCAGCGGTGAGTTTCATAAAATATATCAATAACTTTAATATTTAAAGATAATTATAATTTTTAAGATCCTTTAGCATCTTTTCCAAAAAAATAAGCCTGTTAATGTAATTTTCTCCTACCTTTTAACATGTTTACGCATTTTTATGGTTAATTCAATTAGTTTATTAGTATTTAATAAATTGAGTTAATTTTTTTTTTGTTGGAGAGTGATGTTAAGCTGAATTATGCATAAATTGATCATTAAATTAATATAGGTCCCATGTGCTATATATGTATGTATGCGTGTGCATACACAGTGCAAGTGGATTCAGTTGTTGAGGAGGTTTTAGCAGTTGACAAAAAGGGCTACACATACTTGTGCTTCTTCTTCACTGAAATTAGGAGATCCCACGTGAAAACAATACCATGCAGTTCATATGAAAGTCTGCAACAAGCAAAATCGCTTTGATAAAGGTACGTTGATTAATTCATACAACGTGGATTGAATTGCACTTCCAATTCCTAATTGAAGATCTTGTTAGCAAATAATTGATAAATACTTCTTCTTCTTTTTTTTAAATTGTGCATAATATCTTTTTTAGCATGAACTTATTTTATCATATTATGAGGGACTAGTCCCAATGATGAACACATGATGTTGAGTTGGTGGGGAATAAATGATATAAAATAACAAAATAATAAAAAATAATTTAATATATATATATAAAATAAATATTTAGTTTTGTAAATTAATATTAGAAAAGGAAATTTAAAATGATATTTTTCTAAAACTAATCAAAATTTAAAGACAAGAATTAAAAATTTAAAATTTATTGACTTAAGTGAAATATAAAAGACTAATTTTTTTTAACTCAACATATTTTAGGTTGGATTTAGCAGGTTCAAAACTATTGGAACAATGGAAATTTTTTTTTAAAGTTTCACTTACTTGCGAATTTTTTTAAGTTGAGTGGAAGCACTTGCCCATCATTTATACATGCATTTGCCGTTGATTAGTCTCTTCTGCTAGCCCATGTTAGTAATATATATAAATACTTCTATTAGTGTCAATCGGATTGTGAAGCCTATTACAACAATGATGAACTCTTAAGACCTAACTTAATGTTTTATTTAATTCTATTGCTTGGTATTCTTGGAAAACTGGGGGTATTACCACCTCCTGCTCAAAGTAACTCGAACTCCCACAATTTGGGATGATTATTACCAACGATGGTTTCATGAATATTTTGGGGATGCCTTTGGCATACTCCATTTGGATAATAATATAAAACATCTTTTAAAAATCTTTCTTGGTTCAAAATATAAGGCACCGGATAACTTTACTTTTATTTTTTCAACTATATTCCTATTTTATTTATTACTCTTTTTTAAAAAATCATGCGCTAGAATTTTAATTATTATTATCAATGCTCTTACATATGGTATTTAATGAGGGTATAAATGAAAAGATGTGAACATTTTTAAAAATTTAATGTTTCAACTCGTAAACCGTATATTAACTAACAATCATTTATATTGTGGTTTGAAGGGATTATTTATTTAACTTGATTGCATATTTTAGGACTCTAACTTGATGTTTCACTTGATTCAATTTCCTTGATTAGTTGAACCAAATGCCTCTTGATCAACTCAATATTTTTTAAATGAGGGATTTAGATTCAGTGAGTAGCACAAATACACACATTCAATGAGTGTTTCATATGACACAATAACAACTGTTACTTTTATATGAGATTTTGTCATATCATATTCAGAAAGCATTAAATTTTAAATTTTTGAAGAGGACAACGTACACAAGGGCAAGGATATTTTGATTTTTTTAAACACGTATCTTTATAATTTTCATAAAAGCTAATGGTTATAATTAAAAAACTCATTGAGTTAGTTGATTCAAGCCATTCATTCAATCCAAATGTAGAGACAAAATTTGTGGAGACTAATATAAATAGGGATGAATATCAATATTAATGATGCATCTAATGTTGTGACAGTGATGAATGATTAGTTAACTAATACTCTGCGGGTTTAATATATTAGGCGCTTTCTAGAAGCAAAATATGATATACTTTATAAGTCATTAGTTGATAAGATTATTTTGTTTTAAATTAAAACCTCCAAATTATTTTTAAAAAGTAAGATAGAGACAGAAAAATAATATTATATAATTTATTTACTTTTTTTTATTCAAGGGTTTTGTTTGAAATTTTATTTATTTTATTTTTTATATTTTTATTATATTAGTATTGATGAGTGGATAAAAATGATTAATAAGGAGCCAAGGGAGTAATGATTTACTTAATTGGGAGCACTATGTTGTGTATCCATCAGAAGCTTTTGAATTCAATTCTCGTTCGTTGGTTGGTGTTCATTAAAAGCGGTGGGTTTTGCCTTAAAATTGAATCAACCTATCGGATTTAATTTAACTTGACTTCCGGTCTCCCACACCCCACCCCCAACCAAAAAAAAAAAAAAAATCATTTGACTCAATTATCAATAATTATTTTATACAAGCAATTGGATGTGTTATATGCATTATACATTTTGAGAAGACTAAGATTATATTTCAACAAAGATTTTATTAAATTTTTATTGAAAAAATTGAGCCATTTAAATTAGTTTAAACCCTTCATATAAATTGTATATTCCCCGCGTAATTTTGAAGTTGTTTCCAGGTCCTGCCAATATTCTTGACATAAAAACTCCTAAAAATGGAAATAGTTGGTTCAGTCCCACTGATCATTTCAAATTGTTAGTTTGTTATTGCAATGAGAGAGAGAGAGAGAGAGAGAGAGAGAGAGAGCGAGCACATATCTCTCTGTTTTTTTTAACCCAAAAAAAAAAAAACAGAGATCTGCAGTAAATTTTCCACGTATCAATGCCTCTACCCAAAAAGTCAAAAACGCAAAAGCGCAGGTTGGCTGCTGAGCTGTCTCATTTGAACCGGAAAAAAAAAAAAAAAATTCTTTAAAATTTGCAAATGATAATTTAATCTTTTAAAATATTATAATTTTTTAAAAGTTTTAGGATCTTTTTTGTCATTAATAAATTTATTGAAATCACCAAATTATCCTTATTAAAAATAAATGATTTACTAATTTTGTTTAAATATTTACAACTTTTCTTCTTACATTTACAACAATATAATATCAAATCATAACTTCATATGTTAAATTTTTTATTTACTGTTATATTGTTGTGAATATAAAAAGGAAAGTTGTGAATATTTAAACAAAATTTATAAATTATTTATTTTCAACAAGGATAATTATTTATCAATGATAAAATTTTTAAAAAAATTTAAAAAATTATGATATTTTGAGAGATCAAATTATTATTTTTATATTTTAAAAAAAATTATTATTATTTTTTCTTGAATCAATGCTCCTAAGTTCAGGAATATCTGTACCAAGTTTACGTGTATATTCTATTCATACAAAAAAAATGTTTATTGGTTTACTGACAAGTGTTAGTTTCATTGAAAAAACTATAAACCGCTTAAACAAAGGTTTCAAACTCGAGTCCACATGAATACCGAAACACCATTGATGAGAACTCAATTAGACCCAAAAATGATTAGATCTAATCTAATCCGGTAACCATTTTACAAAAAAAAAAAAAAACTTACTAATTACAATATGAACTTTTATTTTTTTTTATTTCATTGCTCAGTATTTTGAAAAATCAAACTAATTCAAATTCCTACCGTGTGAGATTGTTATTATCAATAACAATTTCACAATAACTCGAGGATATTTTTTACATGTTTATTTAACACAATTGTCTATCCCAGGACTTGAACTCAAGACCTAGAACAAACTGATTTAATTCTTCTGACCAATTAAATCAAACGCCGTCAATTAAATAGGAACTTTTTAATCTGTAAATAATTATTATGTGTCATTTATACATATATATATACATATATATAAAATTTTTAATACTGAAATCAACAAATGTTTTCCCATTGTTCTATCCATACTTGAGAGGGAAAAAAAACATGTATTTCTTTCTCCCCTTCCTTTTCATAAGATGTCTTTTGGAAAGTTTTAAAATTCCTATTTATAAGCCGTTTTACAAAATCCATGCTGTAATTAATTTTTTATCCCCTCTTGAAAACACCTCTAAAAGGGGTGGTTTTAATTAATTAAAAAAGAGAGTGAGGGAGATAAGAGTATTTGAGGAAGGTTATTTGTGAAAAGATAAAATAAGTAATTTTCTTAATTTATATAAAGTACGTAAATTTATCTTGTATAACCGAACAGAGGGAGTACCAGCTGACTGGTGAGTGCAGCTGAGCCACAGGTCCAAAAAACAACTTGAAAAAGCAGAAAGAAGAGGAGATGAAGTTAAGCAATTCTTGCTCAAACTATCTATTCATCTGGCTTTTGATTATCAAAAACAGGAACACCCATTTGGTGTGAATCTAGTGTCATCAACAATCAAACAAAAAGATATTGACAAATCATGGATTCCTGTAGTGTGTGTAGCGTGTAGTGTAGCATTCTGGGAAATTATGCAGAGTTGATTCCAGTTTTACCGATGAGGGGGAGACTCTTTCACACACACTGTCGGGTCAGGCATTAGTTTGTGAGATGGTGGCTCCAACCCTCTTCTACGCCAATGATTTATAAATGAAGTTTCCAGTTTCCTCACCTGTCATCACAGTCACATCTTCACATATAAGAACTGAAGAAAATGCCTGGTGTAGACTGTTGAGTTTTTCAATCAAATTATAACACAGGAAGTTTTTTTTTTTTTTTTCCAATGTGCATAATTTGGTAGTGAATATCCCAAAGACTTAATTGCTAATAGAGCACAATAGTGTCATACAATTCATGTAGCTGACTTTACTTAATGAGATAAGGTTTGTTATTGATGAAGTTGTATAACTTGGTGGTGAATTAAGACAAATTTATGTTAGGTGAAAATGCATTAGTCTGCTCAAATGTACTAAGAAATAAAGAATCCAATCCAAAAAAGCTAGAAGGCTATCTCCATATGTCTCTAGAAAGGTGAACAGATGATACACATATGCATTGACTACACATGTATTTTTCATTAAGGAATCTTATTGAACTCTTTCATTTTTCTAATTGGATTTTATAAGACAACATAACATGTTTTTATCAAATTTCTGAAATAAAAGTGTAAGAGAAAGAGAAGGGTTGGTCATTAAGTTCACCAAACAAGGCATACTTAAAAAATGACCAGCAAGGGTTAGACTTATTCCAATGACCTTATCTCCCCCTCCTATTCCATCTTTGCTCCTCAGCAACCCCATCAAGAAAACAAGAAAGAAGAGAATCTGTTTGGAGTTACCGAAAGCATATTTCCATTAGCTAAGTGAATTTATGTTGCCAGAAAAGGAAATAAATGGAAGAGAGAAAGAAGACTGCCTTTAACCATTTTAAGTTTTGACTGTCTCAATTCCTTTTCATCTAAATATCTGCAGGCTGCCTTGGTCCTATTACTGTCATGAAATGTCAATAATAACCTTGAGGAATAAGATATCACTGCCTTTAACCAATGTACCCAATTGCCCGCCTAATCATCTGAGGCCGAAGTCAGCCTCAATCTTTCTGATTCATAAGCAATTCAGTCCATCTTTCTTTCTCCCACGTAATTCGTTAGTATACAACCAACCACATATATAGTCAAAACACACACTAGTCCTACATCCTACAGGCTTTTAGGAGTTCAGTCTGCAGGTCAGAATTTTTGTCTCAATCAATAATGCCTCAGACTATTTCATCCTCAGTGTCCTCGATGTCTATTGATAGTATGCTCCCTGTATGACGTCTATTGATAATACTCAGCCCTCTTATGTCTATTGATCCCTCTATTAATTCATCCCATGGTTCGTCAGTTGACTCATATGAAAGTTGAAGAATTTAACAAAAACAGAATTGAGCCGCTAAAGTCCTGATATTTATGTAAATTATTCTGAAGCAAAAAAGTTCAGGGCCAATGAAAATTTAATTTAAAATTTTTATCAACAGGTTTCTCATTACTATATATAATTTTAGCCTTCCATGCCACATATAAACCTTTAATATTGAGAATATTACTCATGTTCATTTTACAAATTGGTGAGATCAACAACCAGATCAACACTAACATACATTTCTCTATGCTTAGCAATCAAGGATTTGTACTTTCAACTTAATAGGACCAGAACAACCATAGGAGCAGCAGATTAAAGCCTTAAGAAAGAGATTGCACTGCTGATGCCAAAGTGCGGCTGTTGTCTGCTGCATTGTCTCAGTTATTCAAATGGAATATGAGGTACAGCCGGATAGAGTCCTAAGACAATTGATAAATGAAGTGGAAATATGCAACTGGTGTCTGAAACCATTGCACAAGAAGTCGACAACTATAAAGCTATTACATACGAAAAGTCACTGAACATTGAGGAAAGGGTAAGAAGTACAGATCAATGATGTTTAACATCAGAAATGACAAAAAACAGATGCCCATATGGATATCACTAATTTTTAATGTTGGTGTATATCAGTGAATGAGTGAGTGCATGCATGTAAAACGAAATGTCAACATGTGCAAGATTATCCTACAAAAATAAAGCAAATCTAACATTGGCATTGATGAACATGACAAAGATGAACTTGCAAACAAGAGACATATTGGAAGTTTGAACAAGATATCACACACAAAATAACATATTTCAACTATGAAATACAGAAAAGTTCTAAACATCAGGAAGCTGAAACACAGGAAAGAGAGCATACAAGTATGTTGAACTTGGTTCCCATTGACACGGACAAATTGAAACTAATTGTACAACAACAACAACAACAACAAGCCTTTATCCCACTAGGTGGGGTCGGCTACATGGATTGTAAGACGCCATTGTGCTCTATCATTTATCAAGCTTTTAGGAATATTATTAATTAAGAGATCGCGTTTAACAACTTCCAAGAGTGTTCTCTTATGCCTTCCTCTACCTCTCTTAATCGGACTCAAAGTTATATGTTCCACTCTTCTCACTGGTGCCTCCCTTGGTCTTCTTTGTACATGCCCAAACCATCTCAACCGATTTTCTACCATTTTTTCCTCAATAGGTGCCACCCTCACTTTTTCGCGTATGTGCTCATTTCGAATTTTATCTTTACGTGTATGTCCGCACATCCATCGTAACATTCTCATCTCTGCTACTCCAACTTTATGCTCTTGCTGTCCCGTTAGAGCCCAACATTCACTACTATATAACATTGCCGGTCTGATAGCAGTGCAATAAAACTTTCCTTTAAGTTTATTAGGCACCTTACGGTCACAAATAACTCCTTTAGCTTTTTCCAATTAAACCACCCAGCTTGAATTCTATGTGAAATATCTCCACTGATTTCGCCATCATTTTGAATAATGGCTCCCAAATATCTAAACTTTTCCACTTGAGGTATAATTTGATCTCCCAATTTCACTTCCAAATTATTTTCGAATAGTCCTTTACCAAATTTACAATATAAATATTCCGTCTTACTTCTACTCAGACGAAAGCCTTTCGACTCCAATGTCCTCCTTCATAACTCAAGTTTACAATTAACCTCTTCTCTTGTCTCTGCTATAAGAACTATATCATCCGCGAAGAGCATACATTTCGAGATTTCCTCTTGAATATGTTCCGTCAAAACATTTAAAATCAAGTTGAACAAATAAGGACTCAGAGATGATCCCTGATGTAGTCCAATCTTTATAGAAAAATCCTTTATTTGACCACTAGGCGTTCTTATACTAGTTTTTACCCCCTCATACATATCTTGTATGGCTTTAATATAAGCAATCCGTACTCCCTTTTTTTCAACGCTTTCCAAAGCACTTCTCTTGGTATACGGTCATAAGCTTTTTCCAAATCAATAAAAACCATGTGTAGATCTTTATCTTTACAACGATACTTTTTTATTAATCCCCTTAGTAGATAAATCGCCTCTGTAGTTGATCTACCTGGCATAAAACCAAATTGATTCTCAGAAATACTTGTCTCCAATCTCAACCTGTGCTCAATTACTTTCTCCCAATTTCATTGTGTGGCTCATGAGTTTAATCCCTCTATAGTTAGTACAATTCTGAATATCTCCTTTATTTTTATAAATAGGAATTAATGTACTTCTCCTCCACTCATCAGGCATTTTCTTGGACCGTAAAATCACATTAATAACTTAGTTAACCATCTCACCCCTTCTTCACCTAAACATTTCCATGCTTCGATAGATATATAATCAGGTCCGTTGGCTCTACCATTTGCCATTTTCTTAAGAGCTTCCTTTACCTCCTTATCACGTATTATTCGATAGAATGACAAATTTTGTTCTCCTTTACCAGTTATTAAATCCTCCAAATTACTAGATGAATCCTCTCCATCATTGAAAAGTTTAGAAAAATAAGTCTCCCATCTATTTTTAATTTCATCATCTGTAACTAAAATTCTTCCCTCTTCATCCTTAATATACCTTACCTGTTCTAGATCTCTTGATTTTCTTTCCCTACTCTTGGCAATCTTATAAATATTTTGCTCTCCTTCCTTCGTCTCAAGGTTCTTATAAAATTCTTCAAAAGCTTTAGAACGAGCTTCACCCACAGCTCTCTTAGTTTCCTTCTTAGCCATACGGTACCTCTCCCAATTTTCCTCATTGTTACACAAATGTATGGCTTTAAAACAGTTCTTCTTATACTTGATTTTGTCCTATATACTATTATTCCACCACCAAGACTCCTTATCTCTCGGACCAGAACCTTTCGATTCTCCCAAAACTACTTTTGCAACCTCCCGTATCTTTTTCGCCATATCCTCCCATATGATGTTAGCACTTCCCTGAGAATCCCAAATTCCTTTATCCAAAAGATTTCGCTTGAAATATCTTGCTTCTCACCTTTTAATTGCCACCACCTAATCCTTGGTGTTACTACTTGTCGACGTTTTTGGATTTTACTCATAATACACACATCAAGGACTAGGACCCTATGTTGTGTCGTTACAGCATCTCCGGGGATCACCTTACAATTTTTACAAAGTTTTCTATCTGTGTTCCTAACTAAAAGAAAATCAATCTGTGACCTTGAGGCTCCACTTTTGTAAGTGATAAGATGCTCATCTCTCTTCTTGAAACAAGTGTTGGCAATTTTAAAATCATACGCCAATGAGAAATCAAGAAGAGTTTGTCCTTCATTGTTTAGCTCTCCAAAACCAAAACCACCATGCACCCTTGCATACTGACCAGCTTCCCTCCCAACATGCCCATTAAAGTCTCCTCCAATAAAAATCTTTTCACTCTGTGGCATGTGTCGAATCAACCCCTCCAGATCCTCCCAAAATAATTCCTTAAGACTGGCTTCTGTCCTGACTTGCGGCGCATAAGCGCTAACAATATTAACAGTCTCACGTCCAATTATCATTTTTAAAGAAATAATTCTGTCTCCAATTCTGCTAACTTCTACAACATTCTTCTTCCACTCTTTATCTATAATGATGCCTACTCCATTGCGTGCACTTATTTTTCCTGTATACCAAAGTTTGAAACCTTGAATATCCTTAGCTTCTTCTCCACGCCATTTTGTTTCTTGCAAGCAAAGGATATTGATTTTCCTTTGAATCATAACCTCTACAACCTCTACAGATTTACAATTTAATGTCCCAACATTCAAGGACTTGGAAGAAGAACTAATTGTAGAAGAAGAACTAATTTAACCTCTACAAATTGAAACTAATTGTACATATGAATCATTTACAGAGAGCAATGACTTGGTTCATGCTAATTAAGAACATTATCTCACTTCAAATACGCTCTGGAACAAGGTTTCCTTCATGGTCTACTTGCCATTTATACTTTCACATTAGTACTGAGTTCCATTAGCTGTCTTTTGAAGAAGGCACAATAGAATTTTCACTCAATGGTTTTTCTCTGTTTTTTTCTCCCTTGATTCCTTCATCTCTATAAAACATTCCATATAGAGTTGTCTCATTTCTCTTTTATTGAGAGAATTTTCTTCTTCAAAACAAAAGTTAAAAGAAAATACATGAAACAATTACAATACACCAAAGATAAGTTAAATATCATAAGAAGCAAACCTGTTGAACAACAAATGGCTCCCCAGCGGGACTAAAAGGTTCAGTCAAAATAGTAAGAAACCCATTTCGATTGCCATATACAATGTCAGTAAAGGGCCGATCACCAACCTGCCACAATATATTCATGTTTGAACATGAACCCTCAAAATATGAAACAACAACTAAGTAAAGATGACCCATTCTAAATTCTTCTATACCATGATTAGTTGCGAGGATTCACAACCAAAATGCTTTTCAATTTCATCAGCGGATCCAGCTGGTTTCTTCACCCCTGCCATGCAATTTACATACAGACATCAACACCAATACTGCATTATTACTGACAATTCCAAATGAATATTTCACATGCCTAACTTTTAAAGATATGACACATGAGACCCATCTCAAAACAAAAGGTGCTGAATCAAAAGAAACACTTACTGTGCCTTACGACTCTAATCCCGATTGCCTCCTCAAGTGCCTTAGCTTTCGAACCATCATGGTCATACTCATGAAGTCCTAATTCATCAGGCACAATTAAAACATAAAAAAAGTCCCGTGAGCAACATGCCTGTACCAAAAAATTCAGAACAAATTGTTTCATGCCTAAGAAGCACCAATATTAACACCCATACAGACAAGAAATGGCAAAGACACCTCAGACTACAAAATGTGAGTGTTTTATATGTGTAATGGCTTAGAAGTATTAACACTCCAAGATTCGCACGATAAAATATATAGTATTTACAAGTAATTAAGAGCCATGCCTATTTTGATAACATGATTCGATCTTTGAAGTATAGGTACTACACAGCTTATGAACACCACCTCCGGCCTATTTATAAGAAACAAACGTTTGCTTCTTATAATTGGCCCGGATGTAGCACCATACAGATCCAACACTGAACTAGCTTGATACTACACTTACCAGTGGAGTTACTGAAGATAGCAATATCAGGACCAAACTCCGATTTACAAAGTTCCAGCGAAGAAGCAAGCGGTGGCCAAGGGGTCAAACAGTAAGGAGCAGTAATGGTGTTATCCTTATCAAACACGACCCCTTTGAAACCCCTTCTTTGCAGCTCACCCCAGTCAATAGACCTCAAATCTGGAACAGAAACATGGGGCAGTGCTAATTTCGGGTCCTTCACAAACACAAACATCGAATAAATGGCCTCCAAGTTTATTCTCTGCCCTAACGCTGCTTTCACATCTGCCCACCACATGTTTGTGAAATGTACCCTCCTATCTTCGTCGTTCTTGAACTCCTTTTGCTCGTCTCCTTGAGGGAGCTTTTGGTCTCTGGGTTCTGGGTTGTGATTATTGCTATCTTTGTAGTCAATAGAAGGAAGGAAGTGAAGAAACGGAGGATGAATCCGGCTCTGATTGGAATTGGGATTGACGAAACTGTGAGGAGTCAAAGTGGAGAAATCTCTGATAGGGATTTTGCTGTGAGTAGTAGAAAGTGATAGAGTTGTGAGATTTCTCTGGTGATCGACATTGCGATGAAAGTTCGGAAGATTTGGAGGGAGGGAACAGCAACTGGGAAGGTGAGCGGTTGCAGGCATTTTCATTTTTCAACTTTATTTTTTAAACTCAGCTCCTTTATTTTTGCTAATAATCGTCTTCGAATTTCCAATTTTGAAGTGGAGTAACAATCAAGTCCTTGTTAAACCATTCTCAGCATCAAAATAAGGCTCTCATTTCTTCTGAAGCCCCTGAGGTTTACCACTCAAATTCTTAATCGTTTTATAATTTTTGTTTGATGTTAACTTTGTAATTATCAAGTCCTAAGTTGTTACTTCCAATTCTCAATTCTACATGAATGAGATGGGGGAACTAATAATACACAACGAAATAACTACTCACATTGTTACATGAATGTAATGTAAATTTCAAGTTTCAATTATCTCATAGTAAGAATGAGAGGTAAAAACTGTATCAAAAAAAAAAAGAATAAGTGGTAAAAATATAATTTAAAGATTAGTAAATATTTTATAAATTTAAAAATAAAAAGTAATTATATGATGCAAATATATGTAATGACATATTTTATATAATTTAAGAATTTTTCACGTATGTATATGTATATTTTTTCATTAACTTTCCTTTCTCAATATTTGTTAGATAGGAAAGAGGATCTCTTCACTTTTTTTTCCCTTCACTTTCCTCTATTTCTCTCATCTCCACCATTCATTAATTTTATCATTTAAAAAATTTATTTAATAAAATAATTTGAATGGTAGGGATGGAAGAAATGGAGGAAAAAAATGAAGAGATCCCTCCCCCTGTTAGATAGGAAGAGGATCTCTTCATTTTTTTTCCCTTTACTTTGCTTCATTTCTCTTATTCCTATCATTCATTAATTTTATCATTTAAAAAATTGTTTAATAAAATAATTTAAATGGTAGAGATGGAAGAAGTGGAAGGAAATGAAGGAAAGAAAATGGAGAGACTCCTCTCCTTGTCAAATGGGAAGATGATCTCTCCACTTTTTTTCCCTTCACTTCCCTCTGCTTCTTTTATCTTCACTATTCATTAATTTTATCATTTAAAACATTTGTTTAGTAAAATAATTTGAATGATAGGAATAGGAAAAGCAGAAGGAAATGAAGGAAAAAAAATGAAGAGACTCCTCTCCCTGTTAGATGGGAAGAGGATCTCTCCAGTTTTTTTAAATATACCTAATTAAATTATAGTTTAAAAATATGGATTAAATTTTAAAAATAAAAATTTACTTGGACCGGTTAATTAGCTGATTTTGACTGGTTGAAATGGCTTGTTTCTCCCTTGATTTTGATACGTTCCCCAGTTCAACAATCATACTGACGAATTTAATTTGGTCATGTTTTAAAACGCTATATGGATTGAGCTTCTGATGTTCAGCTGATAATATTGTGTCGTGAATTCATAACTTTTTTAATATATATATATATATATATATATTTGCGCTTGTCCTCTTTGAAATCGATGAGAAAAACCATTCTAATTAAATACCAGAAAAGGAAAAAAAAAAATCAGTCATATCCGAATCCGATCCATGTTTACCCAAATTTAATTTCTATAATTATCTTTGAAATTGACTTGGGGTTGGATCCATGTTGAATCTGAAACATTCTTACATTGAAACTAACTCTCCTCATATTACTCCCTCTCTTTCAAAACGGAGACTAATTAATTAATCATTCCCATTTTCTTCAAAGCTTTTGGATTTCCAGTTTACAACATTCAAACCAATTTATTCTCTCATTCAACACACCATACGTAACCATAGCCCTTCAAGTCTTATATATATATATATATGTATGTATGTATGTATGTATGTTGTTCATTCAAACTCGGATCCTTATCCTGAGATTCAAAACTAAATATGTTGAAATGTGTTCTTCTTCATCATTGTCTTCTTCTTCCTTTGTGAATATTTCATTTTGCTTGTCCTTTGTTTCTTGTTAACCTTGAGCAACGCAGCACTGGGTTGGAATTTTAATACAGATTTCAAGACGAAAGTGTTAAAACAACAGATGGAGGAAACAGTATGTCTCTTTCACTGGACCAACATTCAGGATCAGGAATCGTTTCCAAAAACGAGTTCTTATTTGGACGCTTCGACATGCAAATCAAGCTCGTTCCTGGATATTCTGCAGGCACTGTCACTGCATATTACGTACGTAATAAATTCTCTAATGAAACCAAGACAAAGTGATAACAATTAATGTCGTGTGACACATGAATAAATGTTGTGCAGCTAAGCTCAGGTGGAGGGGCAAAGCATGACGAGATAGATATAGAGTTTCTGGGAAACTTGTCTGGAGATTCATATTTATTGTCAATGAACATATTTGCCAATGGAATTGGTGGTCGAGAGGTTCAATTTTATCTCTGGTTTGATCCCGCTCTCGACTTTCACACTTATTCCATTGATTGGAACTCTCGACGCATCATGTAATTCACTACGTCCCTCTCTACATATTGCATGCAAGCACACGAACTGTTGCTTTTACTTGTGAGTGGACTTCAATCAATGGAAAAAGTCTCACATAAAAAATAAATGTTACAAACATAAGTTAAAAAAAAAAAAAAACTATCCTAAAAGACTAGCCTATTAAGTAAGAGAAATCATTGAATTTAAGAATGTCATCCATTTGAGATTTTACATCTCCAACGAATCCATTGCACTTGGCTTCCAACTGGTCGGACCTTGTGTGTTTAGTCTCTTTGTAAGAATGACTTCTAAATAAAAGTACCAATATTATAAGGACGTCCAAATAGAGAATTCGTCTTGAAAGATTAGCTTATTGGGTGAGAAAAATTTTTGAACTTATAAACATTATTTTACTTGCAAAGCACTCCAATATTGAATTCATAACATAAAACTAATATATAATAAAATGAGAGGACCTATAAAACCTTTTTTTTTTTTTAAGTTCAGTTCAAATGTGGGGTTCCTTGTTTCTATTTGTCCATTTAAAATTTTAATTTAAAGCATGTTTTATTATTGACCTATATATGTTTGAGATTTTTCCCAACTCGTGTAATATTTTTCTGAATTATTTGTGAAGAATATTGGCGGATAACATTCCTATAAGAGTGATTCGCAACAAGCAAAGAATAGCAGTGGAATTCCCAAGGAGGCAACCCATGAAATTATACACAACGATTTGGAACGGAGACTCATGGGCCACCAGTTGGGGGAAAGTGAAGATGGATTATTCTAAAGCCCCTTTCATGGCTGAGCTTTAATGCCAAGGCCTGCTCTGTGAATGTGCAGCCTAGGGTTTCCTACTGTAAGGGCTTCAATGGCGGATTATCAAGGAAGAACAATAACAAAGTTCTTGATGCTGCAAGTAGGCTCAAGTTGAGACAGGTCCACTCAAAATGGGTCGTTTAACACTATTGTCATGATTTCAGACGTTACTCTCATGGCCTTCCTTATGAATGTCGCAAGAGGAATGTGCTTTTGACCTAGTAATAAGGCCATTGTAAAATTATACTTTTGATATTTCTACTTTCTAACGTGATACCAAACACGGACTTAAATTGTTTTGCAGTAATTTTTATTATGTATCTCCATGGGCACATGATCCATAAACAGATAGAAGAATGCTCTTTCGTACCCCTCCTTTGTCAACGTTGTTGAATGAATAGTATGAATGTTGCATTTTGATGAATGGATATTTAGATTTAAATTTAAATTTAAACCAAAATTTTCTTTTAATTAATGTTGTCTGTTTTCAGTCAAGGGGATGATTAAGAGCATTTTGAACGTTGAGAGACAAAATAGATCATTATTTGAGTTCAAAGTGTCAATTGATCCTTTAAGTAAAGTTAAAAGATAAAAATAACTCTTAATCCTTAAATAAAATTAGTGGAGACGTGAATCTTGATTAGGGAGGAACACGACAGAGGAGGAGTGCACTTGTGTTATTTTCCTGTAGATGCTATTGTTGCAGATCTTAGACATTTGTAAATCTAGTTATTGTTCTGGGGTTATATGTGTGGGTATATAAGATTTCGAGATGAAAGGCTCAGAATGGTGAGGGTTCAGCAAATGAGAGGAAAGTTTAAAGCTTTGGTGCCACTATTCTAGTTCCCTCACCAAAGCTTCCACCATTGATAATGTTAGCTTTATCAACTTTTATGCACATACCAAAACATATTTTTATCTTACTGTCATTTTCACTTCCATTTATTTCTATTTTTACTTTCACAAAAAAAATCTTTCATAGGAGGGAGAAGAGTCCAGTTTCAGAGCAAAACAAACCTTTAATCTTAGAATAAAACAAACACATGCAAAAATGAAAAAAATAAAAGATTTTGTAGTTGCTGAATTAACTGATGAGCCAAAGCTGGCCTAAAAGGAAATACAGTTGCCATTTCATCTTCAATGAATATATGAAAATGTCTAACTAGCCATTGCCATTAGAAGACGCTCCTGGCTGTCTCAGCCCGACACACGCTCTTCTTCAATACAGTTCGGCTCTCTCACTCACTCTCTATCTCTCTCTCTTTCTCAGCAGCTCGATTCTCTCGTGATCTCGCCTTCTTCGATCCCAAAAAGACCCGTTAGATAGTGTTCACTGAAGGTCTTGATGAAAGCGCAATCAAATGGACCAAGCAGGTTCTTTTTTCCCGTCATCACTGATTCTCTCCATTTTTCTCTCTCTGTTTCCTCCTTTTTCAAACAGGTCTTTCTTGAACGCCTTTGAAATTCATTCGCTTTTCATTAATCATTTCTGTTTTTATCTCTAAAACATTCCAGTTTTTCGCGTTCTTTTGAAGGCAAATGTAGCTTTGAGTTATTTTCATGGCTATTTTTGAACAGGGGATTCTGTTTTGAATAAGGCCTTGAGCGATTGCTTTCCCTTTTTCCTTTCATACCAGAGGGACCTGTATGTTTGATGAATCAAAACCACATCAAATGGGTCTTGCTTAAATGCCTTTGGAACGGATTTACCTTTATTCCTTCTGTAATTTTATTACTTGAGTTACTCTGTTCTTTTAAACCAAACGGTGGCTTTTCTGCTTTTGGTTAATTTAAATCATGTAATTTTAGTCCTTTATGTGCTTTTGAATTATCTCTGGCTGGATCATAGACAAATGTATATTCTTCTGAAAGCAAGTGTCTGAGTATCTCTATTGTACGATGTGATGTGACTCTGCTTTGAAGTACAAGCGTATTAACAAAATTCCTTTTCTTCATTGTTCACAGGGAACAGAAGCAGGAGCAGAAGAGCCACGAATACAGTCTCCTTTAACGGGGAAATCTTCGAGCGAACGGTTCCCAAAATCTCTTCTTAAATATGGTGGCAATGGTCTGAGTTCTCCTGTTTTGCCTCCATTAAAGTTTCACTCTGGTCTGCTTACACCTCATGGCCACGCCTTCGCTGCTTCATCTGGCTTGATCGATGGCGAAAGTGAGGAAAGCATTGATTCAGTTTCGGATGGCGAGGACGAGAATGCACTGATGGAGAGGTTTCTGTATCAAATAACTTGGGTTACTTAGAGAAGCCAATCTCACAGTGCTATGACGAGGAAGAATTATTTGGTTATAAAGGGCTTAACATTAAGCCTAAACCAGAAGGACGCAATGGAATTCTGAAAAGTGGACTTTCAATTGAGAATCTCACGGTTGAAGTACCAGGCAGTAGTATGAGAAGTGTAAGTTGACATGAATGCAAGACCAAGACAATGTCAGTAGATAATGATGGAAGAAGTGTGAGCTCAAATGAATGGAAGACCAAGACTCTAGGAGCCTCTGAAATCACTGAAAGGTATCATTGCCCTTGTTATCTCTGTTGATTTTTAGCTTCTAATTGATTTTTAGCTTTCTTTTGCATATTCCCCTTCTCTTTTCTCTAACAAAAATGTGGTGTCTTCTTGATCTTGATTTGTGCATATTAGACAAAGTACTAAGGCTAAAGGCTGCCCTGATACACCAGAATTCTTATGAGAAGTGTGCCTAGCTCTTGGAAGTGCCTTTGGGTAGGTTCCCTTCTTTGTGCAATCAATATGAATTATTGGCTTATTCATTCTGAATTTCGCTTTTTTATGTGATTCCTAACCTGTTTCTTTGTAATTGTTACACTCTTCCTGCATCATTTCTTCTCATTGCCAGTGGTCTCATTGAGCCTAGCTCTCGGATTATTGTCATCGATTTCTCTCCTTGTGTTTAGATGTTGGTTTGGCTGCCGAGTCCAAAAGCGGAAAGTGGGCCTATTTTTCTGATGAGAGCACATGGTATATATTTCTAGTGATTTCTTGTTAATATTTGTAATGAAGCATGCGTTTAGAATTCGGTTAGATCCTTTATCTAAATTGTCATGCCCTGAAATTTTAAACATGATTAGCATGGAATATATGTAAAAACATATATTTCTTAAGCATTAAAAAAACTCTAATTTGATAATTTAATTCAATTGAAATAGGATGGGATTCATTGGAATTTTTTTTAATAAAAGATTTTTAGATTTTTTGTAAAAAAATTTCAGCAAAACCTCTCATCTCAATAAATTCTCCCAAAAACAAATCGACAATCATTTTACAAAACAACAACAGTAGCAAGAAATTCTGTTCCCACCAATAGATAACAAAATACAAACAATAAGGGTGAGGACCCTAACTACAGTTTATGTAGAACACTTGACATAAGAATTTACAAAATATAATATATAAATTTAAATTTACATTGAAATTGATTTGATCTACCATTCTTCATTTCAATTGAATAATATAGCCCCATAAGGATCAGTAGAAGATATAATATTAACTAACATATCTGAGGCCAAAATAATAATTTCTAGTAAATAATGTCTCAATCGTAAAATTTTTTGCAATTAAAATGAACAAAATATAATAGTTATATAAATTAAAAAGAAAGCAATTTAAAGTAAAAAAATTTGTAAGCATAGAATAAAAATTTTATATAACTTCAATATCAAGAAACTTTAAATTTATAGCAATAAAGCAACTTGACATTTGAACTTGAGATGTCAAAAAAATTAAATAAATACATAATTGAAAATAATAAAATTTGCTAGAAAAAAAATATTAGAGTGTGAAATCATCAATTAATTACAAATTCATGTTTCTGGAGATTTATCAGAACAATTTATAAATGTGGATACATAATCTACGAGGGTAAATAACCAAACGCGGTTGATGCTATGAAGACAAACGTGGATACACAATTCACGAGAGTAAGTAACAAAATGTAACCTGAGCAACAAAACAAACATGGACATGCAGTCCATGAGGATAATACTAACCAAACGTGGCTTGAAGCCACGAAAATAAATGCGAGTACGAGACCCACGAATAACAAATGTGAGAATAGAACTCACGAAAATCAAACTAGTTAGTCATTGACCATGGTGCACTAAAGGCTAACAGGACCGCCGTTAGCAACTAGTATTTTGTATAAAATTCTCTTTAAATTTATTTTCAAACATGCGAAAAAATTATTATTATTAAAATATAATTTCTATTCTTAAAATCAAACTCATATGAATAATTTTTAAGCACCAAAACTTGCGAGAATAAATTTCATATCCAATGTTCATACTTATATTTATTGAATAATCAATAATTGACAACACCAGTGAAGAGTGATTTTTTTATCAATGTTGAAAGTATATTCCATAAGGGTAAAAGGTTTGTATGCCATGATGCAAATGCTCTTTTAACTTAAAAAATAAAAAAAATTAATTAACAAAATATTCACTAATCAACAAAATTATTATTAAAATAATCTATATAAAAATATAACATTTCAAAAAAATATATTAATTAATAATTTAATTGAGATGCTGATAAACTCTTAAAATAATATTTTATTTCATCTAATTACTTCTCAATAGTACTTTTTAGCTATTGCCTGAATCAACAGCGACAGAGAAGGGGAGAATCCGACAGAATATACGGAACAGGAGAGACAAAACTCATGACTCACACCACCAACAAGAAAGAATCGCCCCCTGCACCCATCATTGACGCACAACTGAAACAAACGGGAGGAAGTTCGGACACACCCACGCAACATGGACACCACAGCGACGGACAAGAACGCAAATGAATGGAGAAGGAGATCTGAACACACACACAGCCACACAGACTAAAGGACCACTGTCGACACCGACGTTTTCAATTAGAGAAGGAAGAAGCTTGAATGGCGGAACCCACGGCATCGGCGATGGCAACGACTAAACAAGGTGCAGGATTGAGACTGTCTGCTAGAGGAATTGAAGCTTCTGGAATCAATATATCTAGCTCCCTCTCCATGGTTCAGACGCGTATTGTCGGGGAAAGAGAGAAGGGAATAAAAAAACCCTAACGGTTTAAGGGCAATAGAGCAATTTCATAAGCTTGAGATAAAAATAAACTTCTCCCTTTTTGCTTGAGGATTCGAACCCAAACTAACAAAAAAAAAAAATGAATACGAAACAAATTTTCATCAAATCACTATATCATTCTTTTTATATCTTTCCCAAAATTAATAAAAATGTATTTTAATAGCTCATCTAAATTTTAATTTAATCTATTATTTTATTTATTTTTATTATTATTATTTTTATGAAATTTTAGGTCATTACATAAATTTTATGTTAAATTATACCTTCTGGAGAAGATTTTCTGGGTCCCCTGCTTCCAGCGGTTGCTGAGATAATGTTCTGATTTTTAATCCTACTTCAAATGTGGAGCCATCACTTTTGAAGTTCAGCGTATTGCTCAAGGGATTCCTACACTGGTAAGTTGACACTAAGACATCATCATTAGTACTTTTTGGTGAACAGTTTTTGTCCTGCGTATGTTAAGTCACAATGTTTTGGTATTCTGCCAAATGATTTTTGCGCAGTATTTTTAATGATTTTTGGATTATGCCATCATTTGGTTTTTCCTTTGTTATTCTTTTTGACTCCTTGAAATTCATCTCTCTATCCTTAAGAAAAGTTGTCATTTTTGCTATAAAAATACAACTTATCAGTGACTATATAGATAAGATTAAATTCAGTAGCATTCTCCCCTTGTTTAAGATCATTTAAATCAGCCTGAAGCTTACCTTCAACATTTTTTTGTTCTTGTCAAGTTTGTTAGCACTGTGAAATGGCTTGAGGATGAATGTGAACTAAATTATGCTCTGCACAACTCAGGAAATGGCAAAGAGAAAGCTGCTCTTGCTCGGAGACCAGAATCTTAGGTTGATTCTCATTTATTGTTTTTGAAAAATCTGAGTCACAGGCATTCGATCGGGTTTTTGTTTTGTTTTTAGCATGTACTAGATCCTGCATTCACATAGCATTCCTACATTTAGTTTCAGACACATTTCAATTTTGAACATTACATTTTAGCATGTTCCACATACTGCATCCACATAGCATCTACTTTTTTTAAAAAAAAAAAAAATAAAGGCATTTTAGTAAACACATATCAAAATTTATATACCATCAGAGCTGCCCATGACATTTGATAATTATTTTGACATTTCAAGGGACTTCTTGGTAATTTGAATCCCTTTAAATTTCCCAAGAAAACTTCATTATGCAAAGGGAACCAACTTTATGAGATTTGCTGTAAAGTTTAGATTTAATATAGATGGTTTAAGTTTAATATTAAAATCCTTAATACAAACGGAAGTATTTCCTTTTTCTTTCTTTCTTTTTCTTTTACTTTTTCAAAGGAGAAAAGCAGACCTAATTAATTCAAAAACACATCGCAAACAAGGCCGATTAATTAGAAGTTAGAAGCATTAGAAACGGAAGATATATAGTTGAGTTAAAAGTTGAAAAGTGATCTCCAGTTGATCTCCCATGTTGGCAAGCAAGCAATGAGGCAGTCTTCACATTAACCCTGCCATTTGCCATGGTGCTTCACAGCTTCACTTGAAGGCCTTTGATTAAAAAAGTTTTGTTGATCATTCTCAACATTTTTAGTTATTAAAGAAATTATTACTTTTGATTTATTTTTTTGCTAAGCGAAATCACATATCTTAATGAGTCTTTATTACATATTTTTTAAATTATCTTTTATAATTTACACTAACAAAAAATGATGCATACTTATATTGATTAGTATAAGGTATTTTAGTCTAATTTTTTTTAAATTTTCAAACATAATTATTGTAGTTAATCAATTTTCTTATATTATGTAATATTTTTTTATTTTATATATAAAAATGGAAGGATTACTTTTCTAAGATAAATAAAATTAGCTCAAGAATAATTTTTTTACAATTTTTTAAAATTCTTTAATCAAATTAAAGGCATTATAAAGACGACCAAAAAGAGACAAAAGTAATTTAGAAAATCAATCATAAACGTTTAATTAAATTTTATAATAGACTTTATATTAAAGATCAATGAGTAGGGTCTTACAAATCAAACCATACGAGTGGAAGTATGTCACGAACTCATACAACGAAAAAGATCAAAGAGCAGCAAATAAGGAAACCTTCTGGTATTGTTTAGCAAAAAAGAAATTACAGCATCTATAAGAAGGAGATATAGTTGAAGAAAAGTGCAGAAAGGACAGTAACAAAAAGGGAAGGTTTAGAGGGAGAAGGAATAACAGAATAGCAGACAAGAGAAGCTTCAGAGAGGCAGAGAGACTTCACAAAATCCATGCATGCCTGTTCCCATTTTCTGGATCCTTTTATCTTCACCTTTTATCTTTTTGGTTCCTTCCAAGCCCAAATAACTGGCCCATTAATGCACTCTTCATAATCCAAGCCCATATCAATATTAAATTGATTCTGATTCGTTGCAGAGTACTTTGTAGGAAGCCAAATTATATAAATTGCCTTGTAAATAGTTTTTTTTAGCAAAGTAAATTGGCTTATTACTTTAATTAATTATTTAAGCGAGATAACATGAATTCAGATTAAATTTAAATTGAATATAAAACTAGATTTTACAATTTCCTCATAATAATTCTTATAAAAATATGTCACATGCATGCATGAGTCGGTATTTCTAGTTTATATAGACAATTCATTATGAACATATAAAAATAGTAAAATACTATTTCCTCCATTAAAAATATAGATATTTTTAATTTTTTGAGGTGTAATCATTACCTTTTTCTTTTCAAAAGTATTCATATTGATAATGATTTTATATTTATTGTAGAGTATTTAATAAGAATAAATATAAAAAAAATAAAGTTAGTTTAAAAGTAAGTAACTACTTTATTAGGGGTGGGATTCGATTAAAAATATTTTATATTTTTTAA